TTTGCCAATAACGGGACAACTGAATATGGTGGGTGTGTTATGGGTGGAGGAGGAGGAAAGGCGGATTTTTGCTGTTTGTTGTGGAACCCACGCCCACTGACAGTGAAGTCACTTTGTAAAAGGTGGCAATTCTTTGAAAGGGGGTTACCTGCCCACTGTCGGAGATGGGCCACCTGCGAGAGTGGGAGATGATGCTATGCTAGGTCTGTGCTCCTCCAGTTATCCTTCTATTAAACATCAGTCCTTTGTTGTTTGTAAGAAATCATGTAGTGTGTAGCTTTGATTTTATAAGAAAGAGGAGGCGGCTGACTTGAAGACCGGGGGAGTTGCAAGTCTGCTCCTTGAAAAGACTGAAGACGTTAAAAGAGGAGGGTTAAGATTGTCTTGGATATAAAGCAACTAAAGGGAAAGGGTAGCAAATGCCAACTACGTACCAACTACATGATTTCATGGGAAACAAAACAGAGAGGCACCAAAAGCAGGCCCACCTACCTGGTTTTACTGGGAAAGAAAAGAAAAGCAATCAAGTTTCTCATGCTAGAGACACCTAGAGAGAGAAACGCCTCAGTATCAGACCCTCTGCAAGCTTTCCATGCATGTTAACCATCTACCTCCTTTGGGTTCACCAGCCTCAAATGCAGGTAAGGATTTATGGATGTAAAAAATAAAAATAATAATTTCTTCTAGCTTCTTTGAACTCTGTTTTCTTTTATCCTCAAGCACCTCACTGGCTCCCATCTAACAAATAGCTGTAGAGTGTGTAGCACGTGGCATACAGTGGATGTGGCACTTTCCATGGAAGGGGTTTCAGAAAGTTACTTTACAGATCAAGGAATCATGAAACTCAAAACCCTCAAGTTCCTTGTTAATGTGAAATTCTTTAATAAATGCTTATATCTTCACCTTTTTGACATTCTGAAATCCCTGTACTTGTTCAGTTATTGAAACTATTTGCATTATCTCCTTTAATCCTTACAAGACCCTGTTAAGGAAGACACTACTATTATTTCCTTTTGTGTATCAGATGAGGAGACTAAAGCTTACGGAGATAAAGTAACTAGTCCAATTTCAAATGGTTAGTAAGTAGCAAATCAGGGTTCGCGCACAAAACTGTCTCCTTCTATACCCAAAGCATCATGAGCTACTATGCTGTTTTGCCTTATTTAAAAGTGATTTTCTTGATGTATTTCTTCCATTTATATTTGGACTTATGCCCTGTTTTATGCTGACTATTAAGTGTATGAGGTGTATAGGCCAACCAAATTCTGCTTTCTAATGATGGACACACAGCCTTTGTTTTCTGAAAATTCCAAATCTGAAGCCAAGGGCTAGGTATATTTTGTCTCTTCATAAGATGTATTCCACAGCATGTTTATTATTTCACACTGAATTTATTCTTGTTTCTTCCAGGATCATGGCTGTAGGGTCAGAATGTGCAAGAGGTTCCTAACATATTAAATTAAACCCAGAGCCAGATTAAATACTCAAAAACAGTAATCATTTTATTAATTGAGGTCGGCCTTACAGTCTAGCATGAGGATATATGTATACTTAGGTAGCTGTGTCAGTGGTGATTAATAAATATTCAAGTATTTTGTGAGGCAGTTGCTTGAAATCGGCCATGTTAGGAGTACTTACACCACAGAAATCTAATGCTACAAATCAGGTTTTGTTTGTTTTTTCTATAGGGGAGGGGAGAAAATGTGACCACTGAGTTTGGAAAGCCTCTGTTTCTGTTAAGGAAGAGATAAGATCATATGCTGAGAACGGAGGGTAATGGGAGTGAAGTAGGTGACTTGAGATTAGAAATGCTTGGAATAGCTGTGAAGGAAAATAGGAAAGAGAAGAGACTGAGACCAAGGGATACTATTGCAGTTATCATTATATGGAGATCATTATTTGAAAGAAACAAACTAAAATTGCGAATCACCACATAAAGGTAGAGAAAATGGGAATTTCACATGAAATGTATATGTTTTGGGTAACAACAATTAAAGAAAAAGTAAAAGTTCTAATTAATTGGCTGTCCCATTAAATTATGTAGAAGGGAACCATGTGAGACAAGTTGGCCTCTGTTTAAGGTTGAATTCTCTTGCAGTTTTGTTGTGCATAATTGTATTGTCTGATCTGTCAATTAAGTGTTTTTAAAAGTAATGATGCATTCCATTTGGATAAAGTATTACACTTTACAAAGTGTTTTCACTGTGCATTATCTCTTTTGATCTCATTTATTGTTGATCTCTGGTTGACATATTACTGTATTTCAGTGAAGCTACTAGAACTTTTACCACACATTTTGAAGGAAAACTCATATAAATGCAAATTTAAGTTTATCTCTGATGACTTTGAGATAAACAGAATAAGCCTGAAGGAAAATAATAAACCCAAAGGACTGGAAATTCATGACAAATTGCAACTATTTAAGAAATAGTTTCATTAGAAAAATAAGATATGTGGATTTGATGAACAATAGGGCAATGGAAAGTACTTGTAGATCAGTGACAAAAATTAATTATGAATTTGTCTCTGTATCTCTGAACTGAGTAGATCTAAGTTGAATCATTTTCTCCAGATGAAAAATTATAAAAGTAGAATTTTTAAAAAGCTACATATTTTTTCTAAAATAACAGATAAAAGGCTTAAACATAAGCCTCTGTTAACCTGCTCTGCCCAGATTGGCGATTTCACAGTTTATGGGTCTGTCCATTTTCTGTACGTATTAGAGAAGATTTTCTACTCCAACGTCGAGAGCACTGATGAAGGATTTCAAAGCTAATTGTCAAGTTTTCCTAATTAATTCTTCAAAAGAATTCAAGAGGCAGTCATTAAGTACAGAGATTTGATTCCTTTGGGTGAAAAATCTCTTGACATTCTAGCTTTGAATTTAGTATTTATTGCTTGAATGAACATTATTACGTGGGTGGTGGTCAGCTGGCTCTTCCTGGATTAAGAAAAATAACCCAAAACACATTTGACTCTCCAGGACTTTAACATTCTTTCCTAGAGCCTTTGGGGGCACTAATAATTACAATAATAATAATTGTTTATAAATTCGGGAGAAAGTCACATTTTTATGGCATTTCTAATCCTTTGAATATTCTTAGGAAAACGGTCACAAGCCAAGCTTTTGGGGCACTTTGAATCTTGCAGGTAAATTTTTCAAGCCACCACTGTCCTTTTGTTTAATGAATATTCCAGTATTTGAAGTAAAATGTGCCTATTGGGTAGTTGCAACTATTTAGTGTAGCCCAAGCTAATTTTACTGTGTAAGAATTACGCACTGTGGAGTTAAGCCATTATTGATAAATTACAAACATGCTTAATTGCTTAAGAGTGCATAATTTACAAATGTGTAGCTGTTCTAGGGCCTGTTTTAACAGATGACTAGGGCATTGAGAATGTCCTTTCAAATTACCTTAAATAGGATGCATTAATTTTTAGTATTCTTTTTTTAAATGTGGTTTAAGTCCTCAAAGGTTAAAAAACAAACAACATTAAGACAGGAAATCTGCTCTTTCTACCATTAGAATATTCATCTCTTTTAGTTTCCTCTAATTACACCTTGATTACCATGAATGTGTTTCTTCCACTTTACAAAACAAATGTTATACTTTCAAATAAATGAAGATTTTCACTAAATTACTGCTGTCAAATTGTATATGAGTTTATTATAATCAAAGTTAATAATTGATCTTTCCTCTTTTGTCTTAGCTTCTGTACTGAAATTGGGCTTAACATACACAGAATTAGATTCAAAGAAGGTTACTGAGGCTACCCTTTGTGGTAGGAATTGTGCAGATAAGTTATTCCATTTAATCTCTAAACATTTTATGAGATGTTAGTATGCCGATTTCAATGTAAGATTTCAAAAAATTGTAATACAATTTGGGCAATACTTACAGTTATGTAAAGGAAAACTAAAACAGTTACTAGCTTGAACACAAGGCTTTTTATTTTTTATTCTTTTAACTATATCTCAGTTGTTTCTGTGCCAAAAAATGTTTGGTTTCAGCAGCGGCCCTTCCTGCAGACACTGGTGCATGGGCTTTTGCTTTCTCACTTCAGTTTCACTAAGGGACCATGAGAGTTGGAATCATGGTTCACTATTTACTTGCTGTATAACACTGAGCAACCCAGAATCCACACAAAGCGTCGAGAATCTCTGACCGGTAGTTGGAAAAGGTGAGGGACTCAAAAATGGACTTTGAGAAATTCTTCACTGCCAGAAGGATTTGTGTTAGGAAAAAAAAATGCCCAGAATGTTGAGACCAATCATAAAAAACAATGAAATCAAAAAGGATTTTGAGAAGAAAGTGAGGATTCAGCCTGTTCAAAACCATGGCCATATCATAGAATGAGAGTTCAAGTCTGGGGTCCGTCAAGCACCTTACAGATCATCTAGCCCAGTGTTTTCCAAATCCTTTTTAAACAACAAAACCACTTTCATTCCAAGTAAAATCTTACCCTATACATATTTCAATATATAACAAATAACAATGGTATTTATTTTACAAGAAAAACTTAAGCATCTAATTACAATAAATTCCATCAATAAAAATAATTAGACACTTTGGATGAACACAGGTATTTGAAATATTGATTTTTGAGTCACATTTGTCATATATATCCAATTTACTTCTCAGTTTTGTTTTGGTTACCCATTGAGTAAACATCTGTGGTGTACAGCACATTTGACTGTGTTTTATTTTTGTTGTTTTTGAAAATTTAAACCAAACATTTGCACAACTCCTGATTTAGTCCAAAAATACAACCGAAAAAACTAGGGATCATGGAGGTCCATTTACTGGCCAATAATGCAAGGCCTAGTTGTTCTGAATCTCAGCGTAGGGCTGATTGTTCTGATATTTTCTGAAAAAGCCACTCTGACTCCCCAGAATGAAAGCGTTCATTCATTCTCATATTCCTTCTTTTTCTCCCTCTTGGGCCTTCAAAAAATAACTTCACGTATATTTACATCACCATTGATTTCTCCATTATAGGAGCAGCAGAAAAGAGCTCTAAGCATGGTGCCGAAGACAAGACTCAGACCATTATTACAGCCATGAAAGAAAGAATGAAGATCAGGGAGAAAAACAGGCCAGAGGTGTTTGAAGTAATTCAGGAAATGTTTCAGATTTCTAAAGAAGATTTTGTGCAGTACACAAAGGCGGCCAAACAGAGTGTATTGGATGGGACATCTAAGTGGTCAGCAAAAATAACTATTACAGGTAAAAATAAGTTGTCTTTAAAATTTTTGTCCCACATTGAGATTTTTACATGTCTTAGAAATCACTGCCAATAATAATTATAGGTAAAATAAATAGAATTTTTCAATCTTGTCAATATTGACACAAAGCCTAATTGGTACTTCAAGTTTCTAAAATATGTACTAGATAATTGAAGTAATTTCAGTCTGTGTCTTGTTCTAATCAAAAGCTCTTCCAGAGGAAGAAGGTTCTGTTTTACAATATATTCGTCCATATTCTGCAGTTTACAGGTGATTAGCTTTACAGGTGATTAGCTTTGTTGCTGCCTGCCACTGATAAATTACCAGAGTAGCCAGTTGTCTCCTCAGTCGGTTTTTCTTAATGAGAAAAAGAGTATCATTTTACTTACTCCTGGATCAATATCCCTCATTAATTTGATCCTTGAGTCAAGGCAATTTGAGCTTAGTGATGTCTGATTTGAACTTCTGAGGTTGCTTGTAACATTAACAGCAAGTGAATAGGTGTTATGTCAATGTTTACCAAGCCTCTTAGCTTACTCATATTGTAATTAAAAGGTAAAATAAAGACACTTCTCTTACTAGGTTGAGTTGATTAATACTGAGAGCAAACTAATAAATAAATAAATTTTAAATCACAGACTTTTGAGTTACGTTGTGTAACTTTTTGCATATTGTATGCGCATCCTCGTTTCTCTATACAGGTATACAGTAATGTGTATATGAGTATATAGCTAATATGTATGTGCATGTATATGTATTTATCTCCTAATCATTACAGTCAAAAGCAAATATTAGTCAAAGTTTCAATGTTCAGTGTGTTCATTCTTTTATTAAATATTTTTTTAAAGTTTTGTTGCTCATGAGAATGAAAACAATGGGGAGGCATCTGCAAACCTAGGGATAAAAGTGATAGAAAATGTTTCCTTTGTTATCAGGTTTTGTTCCAGAGGAAATATTTATGTTAAAATGTTTATTTTGGTTTATTTCAGTGGTTTCTGCACAAGGCTTGCAGGCAAAAGACAAAACAGGGTCGAGTGACCCATATGTGACAGTTCAAGTTGGAAAGAACAAAAGAAGGACTAAAACCATTTTCGGAAACTTGAACCCAGTATGGGATGAGAAGTTTTATTTGTAAGTATATTATGTGAAACTATTACAAATATTAATACATTTGAGAATAAACTTAAGATAGGCATGCAAAATATGTAAGCAATAATTATCTCATATTTTAATAGTATCTATGCAGAAATCACAAAAAAGTGAAACTAATGTACTCAATACTCTTACAATATTTATTATTTATTCTTAATCTTGTGAAGCAAGTGAATAAAAAGAATATTACAAACCAAAAAAGGTAGCACAGTTGGGGTGACTTTGCAGGAGAAAAAAAAAGATTACAGCATGATCTATAACTTGGGTTGACCCAACATAGCTAGGAATTCACAGGCTTGATTCAGCAATATCTTGACATCTGAAGATTTATGATTAGAGACAATAGAAAGACTTTGGGTGTCACCTGACACCTCACACCTACACCAGACAATACTGGCAAAATGGTTGATGATAACTTTAACAACCTCTCATTTTCTGTGAGGTCATTTATTTTTAAACCTCTAAGGTCTTGCACCAAACAGCAAGAAATCATTTTTCTGTCAAGGGTTCTTTTCTTTCTACCACTCCCTCTTGGACAACATAAAATGACTTCCAATTAGCATCTGGTGGAAAGGAAAATCCCTACCAGAATTTTAAGGCAGTCCTTTCCTTTTCTTTCCTTCTCTCTTTGCTAATGGTTTAAACATGGATCTTGTTAACATGCTAAGTAAGCAAAACCAACACATCCAGCTTGTATGGGAATGTGGGCAATAGCGTGTAAGAAATATAGTTTCTTGTGTATATGGACTGATAAAAGGGAGTATTAAGAAATGGGTTTGGAAAATCAGTTGGGACCGAAAAACGGAGGGCACCATAGAATGAGTCAAGGGATTTGGATAGTTTCTCCCTTCAGACTGATAGAAGAAACTATTTTAATACTACTTTGTTAACAGAAGATAAGAAATCAATCGATCGCCATAAATTCAAATTCCTAAGGCAGTTAAGTAGATGAATAAAGCAGGATAAGGGCAACGAAGGAGAAGGACGGGGACTATGGCATACTTGAGCGCAAGTGACTCTTGGAAAAGAGACAGTTTCCATTGCCTTGCTATTATGCAGATGCAATGCAGCTAGAGCTTCCAGTTTCTTAGGAGAAGCTGGAAATTCAAAAGTTTTAAAGTAGTTTTACTGAGGTAAAATTGACAAAACATGAAGTCTACATATTTAAAGTATACAATTTGTTAAGTTTTGACATATATATATCTCCGTGAAGCCATCCCCACAGACGAGATAATGAATATATCCATCACCCCAAAAAAGTTCTTCATGTGCTCGTGAAGCCATCCCTCCTAACTCCCCACATGTCAAGGCAATCACTGATCTGCTTTGTGATGCTGTAAAATATTTTTCATTTTGCATTTCATAGAATTTTATGTGAATAGATCATGGGGTGACACTCCTTTTGTGTGGTTCCATTCATTCAGTATAACTATTTTCAGATATATCCATGTGGTTGAGTTCAGCTGTAGTTCATTTCTTTTTATTGCTAGGTAGCATTTTATTGTATTAAAATATCACAGTTTATTTACGCATTCACCTGTTGATAAACATTTGGTTTGTTTCTAGTTTTTAGCTATTAAAAATAAAGCAGTTAGGAACACTTGCGTATAAATATTTGTATGGATATATGTTTACATTTCTCTCGAATAAATACCTAAGAGTGGAATACCTGGAACATATATTTGTGTTTAATTTTTAAGACTCTTTTCCCAAGTGGTTGTACCATTTTACCTTTCCACCACCAATGTATGGGAGTTCCAGGTCATATACATCCTTCTAACACTTGGTAAGGCCAGTCTTTAAAATTTAAGCCATTTTAATATGTATGTAGTGATATCTTATAGTGGTTTTATTTTGCATTTCTCTAATGACTAATGATTTCAAGCATCTTGTCATGTGCTATTCATGTATCATCTTTAATTGTGTTCAAATATTTTGCCTATTGTTTTCGTATTTGTATAAGTTTTATAGTTTTATGCTTTACATTTAGGTCTATGATACATTTTGAGGGAATTTTTTAATATGGTGTAAGTTATATACCTAAGTTCTTTATTTTGCATATGGATATTTATGCAAATATAATGGTTTCTGCACCTTTTTTTTTTTTGTGAGGAAGATCAGCCCTGAGCTAACATCCATTGCCAATCCTCCTCCTTTTTCTCCCCAAAGCCCCAGTACATAGTTGTATGTCATAGTTGCACATCCTTCTAGTTGCTGTACGTGGGACACGGCCTCAGCATGGCTGGACAAGCTGTGGGTCAGTACACGCCCGGGATCCGAACCCGGGCCGCCAGTAGTGGAGCAAGGGCACTTAACCGCTAAGCCACGGGGCCGGACCCTGCACCATTTTTTTAAAGCACTATCCTTTCTCTGCTAAATTGCTTTTGCACCTTTAATAAAATTCAGCTCTCCATATACATGTGGATATATTTCTGAATTATTTATTCTATTCCATTGATCTATTTATCTATCTGTATGCCAATACCACACAGTCTTGATTACTATAGCTTTAATTTATAATGTCTTATTATGACTTATTATAAAAAGCAGTGTTAGTCTTCCAACTTTTTATTTTTTTCAGTTATTTTATCTATTTTAGAACTTTTGAATTTCTTCCATATGAATTTAGAATCAGCTTATCATTTTTCACAAAAAATAAAAAGCCTGATATAATTTTGATTGCCTTATTGCCTGGGCTGAGATCCAGTATGATACCAAATAGAAATGATAAAAGCAGACATCCTGGCCTTGTTCCCACTCTTAGATGGAACACACATTCCTTTCTTGATTAACTCTGATATTAGCTGTAGGTTTATTGTAGATTCCATTTATCCAGTTAAGACAGCCATCTTCTATTTCCAGTGTGCTGAGTGTTTTGATCAGAAATGGATGTTGTATTTTGTCTAGTGCTTTTACTGCATCTATTGGGATGATCATATGATTCTGAATGTCATTTTTTAAAAAATTTACTTTGAAGATGTTGTTCCATTGTCTACTGTGTTTGCATTGTTTTCTGGTTCTCAACGAGAAATCTGTTGTCCTCATTTTTGTTCTTCTGTACATGTCTTTTTCCCTCAAGTTGCTTTTAAGATTTTGTTTTCTTTAACTCATTTGCACAATTTGATTATAATGTGACATGATGTAGTTTTCTTTGTGTTTCTGGTGATTAGAGTTTATTGAGCTACTTGGGACTGAGTCTGCAGTTTTCTTCAAATTTGGAAAAACTTTGGCTATTATTTTTTTAAATATTTTTTATGCCCCTATCTTTTGAAGACTCCACTTATATATATATATATTAGCCTTCTTGAAATTGTCCCACAGCCCACTGATGCTCTGGGTCTCTCTCTCTCTCTCTCTCTGTCGACCCAACTCCCTGCTCCTCTGTGTTTCACTTTGGATTATTTCTATTGCTATGTGTTTAAATTCACTAACTTTTTCTTCTGTAAGGTCTAATCTACTTTTAATCTAAGCCACTGTATTTTTCACCCCAGATGTTTTAGTTTCCATCTCAGGAAGGTCAGATTGGGTCTTTGCAACTTCCATGTCTCCACTTAACTTTTTTTTAATTAAGACAATTTTTTTTTTAGAGAAGTTTTAAGTTCACTGAAAAATTGAGGGAAAACTATAATGATTTGCCATACACCTTCCACCCGTACACATCCATAGCATCCCTGCTATTATCACCATCCCCCACCAGAGTGGTACATTTCTTACAATTGATGAACCTACATTGACACATAGTAATCACCCAAAGTCTGTAGTTTACATTATGGTTCACTCTTGGTGTTTTGGGTTTGGACAAATGTATAGTGACATGTATCCATCATTATGGTATCATATGGAGTATTTTCACTGCTTTAGAAATACTCTGCGCTCCACCTATTCATCCCTCCTCCCACCCCAAACCCCTGGCAACCACTGATCTTTTTACTGTCTCCATTGTTTTGCCTTTTCCAGAATGTCATATAATTGGAATCATACCGTATGTAGCCTGTTCAGATTGGCTTCTTTCACTTACTAACATGCATTCAAGGTTCCTCCATGTCTTTTCATAGCTTGATAGCTCACTTCTTTTTAGCAGTGAATAATATTCCATTGTCTAGATGTACCACAGGTTATTTATCTATTCACCTACTGAAGAACATCTTGGTTGCTTCCAAGTTTTGGCCATTATGAATAACGCTGCTATAAACATCCAAATTCAAATTTTTGTGTGGGCATAAATTTTCAGCTCCTTTGGGTAAATGCCAAGAAGCATGATTCCTAGATCATATGGTAAGGGTATGTTTAGTTTTTGAAGAAACTGCCAAACTGTCTTCCAAAGTGGCTGTACCATTTTGCATCCTCATCAGCAGTGGATGAGAGTTCCTATTGTTCAGTATCCTCTTTAGCATTTGCTGTTGTCAGTGTTCTGGATTTTGGCCATTCTAATAGATGCGGAGTGGGATCTCATTGTTGTTTTAATTTGCATTTCCCTGGTGGCATATGATGTGTAGCATCCTTTCATGTGCTTACTTGCTATCTGTATATCTTCTTTGGTGAGGTGTCTGTTAATATTTTTGGCCCATTTTTTACTCAGGTTGTTTGTTTTCTTATTGTTGAGTTTTGAGTTCTTTGAATATTTGGATAACATTTGGATCCTTTATCACATGTGCCTTTTGAAAATATTTTCTCCCTGTTTGTGGCTTGCCTTCTCATTCCGTTGACATTGTCTTTCTCTACTTAACTTTTTGAACACATGCAAAACTTATAATAACCATTTTGATGTACTTGACTGCCAATTCTAACATCTGTATCCATTCTTGCTTAGTTTTGATTGATAAATTTTTCTCCTCGTTATGTGTTATATTTTTCTGCTACTTTGCATGCTTATAATTTCATATTGATTGACAGACATTGCAAATAATACTTTGTTGGTTGCTGGGTATTTTTGGCATCCTATAAATATTCTTGGGCTTTGTTCTGAAACATAGTTAAGT